ATTTTTCTTACCGATTTTTCAAAATTGTTGTCGATACTTCTTACACTACAGCTGTTTCGAGCAACCGCTCATCGTCAGGTGATTAAAAAATGTATAAAAACTAAAATTATGATGCGTTTTCGCGATCACGAGTAGTTCGGTATCTGCGTTCGCGTTCGCGTTCGCGTTCGCGTTCGTGCCGTGACACATCATGTCACATCAAGTACAACATCGCGAAAACGCATCATAATTTTAGTTTATATACATTTTTTAATCACCTGAAGAAGGAAAAGTCTTACGAAATTTGATAATGTATGGCCGATAAAGTTAACAACAGAAGTGATATAGTCTATGCAGTTAACTATCAAAGCAAAATTCTTCAAAGGGAATTTTTGCGTCCACCATTGTACCAGAGTGGGTCGGAAAGGGAAGAGAGGAAAGGTAAGGGAAGAGAATAGTTAAAAAACGAGGCCTGGTTAGTGATTACACGTCTCATCCTATAATCCGCTTTGTTGCCTACGTAGGCTTAAAAACGCAACTACACAAGTAATAAGACAAACGGAACCACGAATCATGAGAGCATAAGGGAAAGGAAGTGCGTTGACGACGGCGCAGAGATACTACTATTCGTGTTTGATGGATCTCCGTGATGTATCTGCAAAATTGAAGGCGCGATGGCGCGAGGAATGGAATCGGAATGCTTCGCTCTATGTTGCCAGTGAGGTGTCGCTCAGATTCGGTACCTAAAATGGTCTTTTACGTTTCCTCTTAAGGACTCAAGGGATTTTCGACATGTGTTGAAAGTGAAACTTTATAATGACACAAGCATTTTGTAAAAAATTTAGCTGAAGTGTGAAAATTGTTTTGATGACACAGCATTGTAAATTTTAAATAAAGCATTAACATGATGTTCCCAAAGTTGCGCTATACATGTAAATTTTGTATTATTGGACTGCAAACCCAGTTTTGATTTCAAGCTAAATATCATAATGGCCTGGTTACACGATCAAATTTCCGTCAAATTCCGATCAAAATGATGACCAAGATGGCGGTCGATAGTTATTTAGATTGATGAGTAAAATTAATTAAAACAGCGTGTTGATTGAAATGAGCACGGTTGTGTGGAAATCAGATGAAGGATGAGCCCCACAGCTCCATCATCTACCAACAAATTTTTGCAGGCCACAAATTTGATGGTAGATGGTGCGCACCAGTCACCATTTGATCGGAAATTGATGGAAATTTGAGCGGGTAACCAACGCATAATAAAGACTTTTCTCATCACAAGTTTCTGGTAAATCTACGGTAAAAAACTCAGGGATCAGAACCCATCTGTTTCCTTCTCCAATACACCTCTTGCATATGTCAGGAAATTGCGATTTAAGCACTGGTTTCTAAGTAAAATTGCGCGAGAAACAGGATGGTTTCACTGTTTTTTCTGAAATTAACTTCAAAGCTCAAAAAAGAGCTTTCAAAGTTGGCGCGGATATCCCACGCCACCCTGAGAGTCCACCTCTACATCAAGACAAACTTTCTACGCAAAGTTAGGGAGTGAGTATACATTAGCAAGAATGCCGTGTTTTCACTTTTGGAGTCCCTAAACAAGGTGGCAACCCTGTTAGTGTATCTGCTTCCTATTTTTGCATTACATAGATAGTTTGTCTGGGTGTAGAGGTGGACTCTAAGGATAGCGAGGGATATTCCCTCCATTACGGCCTCAACTTCGAGAGCTTTTTTAGAGCTTTGGAGTTGATTTCAGAGAAAACCAACGGCACCATCGTGTTCCTCGCGAAATACACGGGAATCAATTCTTAAAATCGCAAATTCTTCACGCATGCAAGAGCTTCGATCGAGTCCCCTTTTTTCCCCAGAAATTTAATATGAAAGTTATCTTGAGATGTTACACGAGGATACCAGTGTTCAATATATTAAATTCTAAAAATAAAAGGCAATTACATATTTTCCTCATAAATAATTTCCTTTCTCTAGAGGAAGAAGCCGCGACATGAATAGGCTCTCATACATTTTTTATTTTTAGGTTTTCATCAGGCTTAACTTATTGTAACGGGAAAAGCAGTAACGAATACCCGGGCTGCTCTTTCATTAGCTGATATTGGAATGTTGCTGTAAATAATTCCAGGTACGGGGTGATACAATCGAACTTGATATGCCCAAGGGTGGAATGTCAATAAGAACATTTCGATTCGACGCATACAGGGTGGCTCAGTATTAAATATGAAACACTCAAGAACCGATTATTTTCGTCAAATAGGATTTTTTTTTTAACATTAACCAGAATTCGGCTAACTCTATCCGACATTATTGCCTAATTTTCTCTCATGTTTTCTTTTCTTTATGAGTAATTAAGAAACATGCTGCCTTCAAATTTTGGGAGTACATGATTCACAATCAAGGATATTGATGGAAAGATCTAAGGTGTTTGTTGCTTGGTTTCACTGTAAATTAATACAACCTATGGGGACACTAGGCAATATGAAATATAATCAGGCTGATTCCAATAGATTTCGTCCGATTTTCTTCACTTTTTTACAAACTTTTTGACAGTTCAGTAGATTTGGAGCGAAATATTTCTCTATATAAGATGGCATATTCTCCATGGAATATATCCCTGCATCACTGCATCACCCCTCTCTGCGAATCCTGCGCCAACTCAATCCTAAGCGCTGCACTCAACCCCCACATCTCCTTCCGGCAGGCACAGTTAGGCCGAGTTTTTCTGCGACTTAGAGACACCCTCCTCTGTGTTATGTGAGGTTCAGCTCAGTATTTTTTCTTTTTTCCTCTTCCTTTTATTTAAACTTTTTTACACTTACTCATATGATTCTACTAACTATTTTTGTGATTCTTGCAGTTCTCTATACAAAATTGTTTTATTTTTCATGACAAAGTATCAGCTTTAACCCCCACCCCCTCTTAACGCTTTAATGAAGTGGGTCCCTATTCTGTAAAACGTTAAAACGAAAAAGCGTAACACTATCCTGAACCAGGGTGGCATGAAACGTAAGAAAGAAATGAAAGATTGGAAATTTCAGTGAAATATTTCATGAACTTTCACGAGGCTGTGAAATATTTCATATGTGTCAGGGACCAGAGTATGCAACATGCACTCAAACACACAAAATTAAAAAGAAGTCACAATTTTTACATTTTGCGGAACATGGGAAGGAACCGGTATTTTTCAATGTCTTTCATAAATTTCTGAAATTTCATGAAACATTTCATGTAAAATTTCAAGATTTTATTTTTCATGAAATTTTGCCACCCTGTCCTGGACCCCTTCCCCTTCCCTTATAGCGCTACGTATTTTATGAACGGCCCCCTAGTATGAACCGAGCACAATTCTAAAATCTCGTCACATCATCACGCATTCATCCATCATTGGTTTTTATGACCCTCCCTGTATCCTCGTTCTCCTCTAACTCGGACGTCAAAACGCACAGTTTTTTTTTTTATCAATGAACCCCCTTGGAAACGTGATCGAAGGCGTAGAAGGACGCAGTTTCGCCTCCGCGATGAGGCAGGAGCCAATCGGGACGGCTCGGTATCTCTCGAGGTGACGAGGCGTCATTGGTTGTCAAGCACTCCTACAGTCCGCGAGCCTCCAGGGGGACACCCAATCACGGAGCTTCTCTTCGGGGATGAAAAATCACAGCGTTTCCGGTCCTGCTCGTCGAGATTACGGTCGCGGTCGCGTCCTCGCGTCTCCAGAGGCTCCAGTTCGATCCCACCTGTCGCTGTCAAGCGTTATCTGTCTTGCGTGCACGCGTTCGTCGTTCGGTATGTCATAATTTATTTTTCCGAATACGAGAATGTGCTCCTGGCCGGACCTGAATCAGTTAAATCCTAGCTTTCTCGCCACTGCCCCTCAAGATGGAATCAACTATCAGATTAACTCAGGTAACTTCAATTAACTTCAGATTAGATAAACTCGATTAACTTCTTCGACTTTGGCTGGCTGATGATTGCAATTGAATTAGTGAGAACGAAAACACACCAACTCGGTAACACGAAAATGCTCCATTTCCATTCCATGCTTCCATCCAGTTTACTTAATTTAAATGATAATGGGAGAGTCCGAACTTTTTCATCAATGCCAGCTGATATTTAATGTATAATAAATATGGGAGGAAATAACGCAAATTTTAATTAGTCAAGTTGGTTGGAAGATCATCCTAGAAACTACGGCTAATTTTAACGATAATATCCGTCGCGTGGTGCCACGAAACAAAATTTGCTGCATTTTTCCACAATCATTATTCTTGTTTCGTGCAGCCACACCGCACCTATGATCTGTGGCTGAATGAGACAATATTTATTCCGTGGCGCCGCAATCTGTAGCTAAATGAATGTAATCGAAACACTGCCTACAAATCAGTTGTTTTCCCATATTAAAAACTCCGTGCTTGATGTACGGGACAAAGACAGAATAGTAATTCTTAGGGTACTTTGAAGGGACGTCAGGCCCGAGGCGCGAGGAGCGAGGCCCGATGCGCGACACGACAAGAGGTGCCCCTTCAATCAGTGGATAGGCAACATACACAACACTCCGCTACAGCACCAATAATTACAATTTAAATACAATTTTTTGCGATCTGCAGGTTCTGTGCTACTTGGGTAGAGGAACGTTCTCCGGGTATTTTGGGACAATCAACAGTCAGAAATATGTCAAGTCGAACCATACCTCTAGCTTAACACTTGAAAAAAAAAAAAAAAACATATTGGATCTAGAGTCCAGATCGACTCTTGAAAACATTGACAAGGAAAAAGACTCTTGATTCAATCAGATTTAAGCTTAAATCCAAAGGAAATCCGCTCAAATTAAGAGGCTTGGTTCTTGCTTTAAGCTTAAATCTGATTGAATCAAGAGTATTTTTTCTTGTCGATGTTTTTAAGAGTCTAGACTCTAGATCCAATGACTTTTTTTCCAGTGAAGGCCTGTGGCCGTAGCTCCTTCTTAAAGAATGAACAGAAAATATAGAACGGAATGGAACATAACAAGATAATACTTAATTCTTTTATTGCAAGGAACTTACACTTAATAAAGGAACTTGGTGAACACAATTACACAAAATGAGTAAAGAACAGCGATAACAAATCAATTAAATCTAGTCATTCTTATCTCTCTAGCAGAAAGGGAGGGTTGAAAAATTGGCACACGAGGTGCCAAGCTTATAACCTTACTGCGTGGAAGAAAAAGTTACTCCTGTAATAGAAGAATATACAGTGTCAGGGAGGAAGAAAATGGAAACCTATAGATTAAGACCCGAGTAAAAACCTAAAAATATTTTTCTTCCTCATGTTTTTCCGACCTGATTTCATCTACTTACCAGCTTAACTCATCTTTTAAGCCACTTCAAAGACATAGGAAAACATTACTAATTATCACGATGACATTGCTAGCGGTCATCATGATGACATCCATCTACCAGTTTAACTCTTGATTTTAGAGGGATCACTATGCCTCTCTCTCCTTCGGTTAGAGGTGTCGCGTTTGCATAAAATATTTTGCGGAAATATTTAACGATGCTTCGAGGCACAATCCTAAAACAAAGAGGGGATAAAAATCGATCAAATACATACAAATAAACTGATTGACAAAGTTAAAAAAAAATAATAATACAAAAATACAATAAAATATGCAAGGAAACGGTAATGGGTGACAAAGTTGAACTTTTCTTAGAGGATTAACAGTTTTATACCCATCGCACAGTGGGTCTGGCAAGAGATACATCCGACGGGATGCATTTTCTAATGATTAATTAGCTCGAAAATCACGTTAGTCACATTAAAAAAGTTTGAAATTTACTCCTTAGCGCACAATCTGCGCAGTTTGTGACACTCTCTTTAAAATTACCGCGTACGCGAGCAGTCTTTTTTTTTTTAGTAGCCGGTACAGTCAGGTTTGCCCTGAGAAATACTAAATAAGCAAATCCTAACCTAAATAAGCAAACAATCTAGCGAATGTTATAAACTCACCTTGCGTAAGATTTTAATTCATTTAGGGATTTTGTTTTCGCAAAATAAAGGAAGAAAACGAAAAAAAAAAAGAAAAAAAACCGCTTGAAAACGCCTGAAATCATACATTATAAAAAGGTGGTGAAATCGTTTGTTTACTCAAATTAGTTTTTCTGACTCTTCTGTCTGTGCAAACCTGGTCGGTGCATGGTGACTGGGAAAAACTGTCCGCAGACGCGGGAAACTTGGAAGATAGTGTTGTATACCACGCAGATTGCGCATGCGCACTAAGAAATGGATTTCAGACTTTTCTGACGTGCCCAACTTGATTTTCATGCGATTTCGCCTAAAAAAGTGTATTGAATACACTTTCTAATGAATACATTTTCTTATAACACTTTCTTGAATACACTGTATTCAGTTGCCTGTATTTCTTGCGTACAACAGAGCCAATCAACTGTTCCATTTCCAGATCCTTTTCACAATACCATACCAAATCATTGGCGTATGTCAACCAGACAGAAAACATTTTCACCAACAAACCGATCTGTCGGTGTACTTTTTAACATAACTAATGCATTCAGTGCACAACCAAATTACGATGAAAATTCGCTTCAAACGTCATGCAATATTCTTTTGTGATCATTTGGAGCTCCTGTTTCTTTTGTTCCAAATTTTGCCGTTTCTCTTATATCATCTCAAAAACATTCTTTCAAGATGTTAAAGAACGCAACGCAACATTATAAGATACAATTGTTTAGAAGAGTAAGCTTTTAACCATCTTACCATCAGCTTACCATCTCAAAAAAATTCTTTGTAAAACTTTAAAGAATGCAAAATCATCAGATAAAATTGTCTTGTAAGAATAAGCTTCTAACGCTTCGTAACTGATTGTGAGTCATTTATCGTAGAAATGATGTGCAAGATTTCAAATGCTGTGCGATTGTTCAACTTTGTCCTCAATTTGCAGGTAGATGATAAGAGGATCCTGCTTGAATATTACCCAAAAAATCTCCCATATTTTCCCCAATTTTTTGTAATAAATATCAGGATGGTGTTTGTTCGGTTTGCGACAAATTTAATAGGTACAGAATCTGAGCGTCACTTCAAAACTTACACGTTGCCTCTGCAAATGATGTCTCAACGTTGTCTCAACTAAGATAAAGTATAATTACATAGTTTTACACGCGTATAGGATGATATAGAGTAACGAGGCGAAATATTGCCCAAACTTACTTTAGCACCAGGTAAAAAGGGTAATGATACGATGGGATTGTGAATTCAAACTTATTTTCTTCGATACCGTTAATTGCACATTTCGCAGCATACTCCAATGATACGTCTGGCAATCTAACAAAGGATGAAAAAACAAAGAGGCTTCATGGGTGATGATAAAGAAGAAATTTTATGTTTAATTCCAAGTATGTTGAATTCCAATTCGTATTTAAAATATAGGAGAATCAATAGAATTTCATATTACAGATAAATTGTGAAAAATTTAAAACGTTTAAGAAAACGTCGACATACGCGGAAAAAATGTAATTGCTGATTTAACAATTTTGTAGTTAAAGAAATTGTCCGACATGTTTCAATGCGGGTTTTACAATAATAAAAATGCTAATTTGACCATCCCCGTGGTTAGCTTAGCTTTCCATTACTGGAAAATGTACATTTGATCATGTCGTACTTATGTTTTAACAATTTAATTGTTAAAACAACAATCCATTTTTTTCCGTGTACTTTTGTCTGTCTCGAGCATATATAATTTGACACGTTTCATGATGCAGATGATTAACTGCATAGTTGCAATTGATTCAAACCGTATTCGATGCGACTTAATATTAAAAATCTGCAAGTCTGCAGGTGTTTGGCATACTTAGGTACTTACAACTAAGAGGCTGTAGTGGCCGGTCAATTTGATCCCTTTNGGGGGGGGGGTCCGCAAAGTGTACTGAACTACATTCTTTAAAAAAACGACGGTTTGATCCGTTGGTATTTTCTCTAGACAGATTTTTTTTCTTTTTCATATAATAAATCAAAGTCATATGCCAATCATCACCTTGCGGAAATAAGAGATGAAATTCTAGTTCTTTTAGAAATAAAATACTGAAGTCTCTGGCTGTAATAGAGCTCGAAATGTGTCTGTAAAGAGATGGGAAAAATCCCAAAAACTCATCTTGCAGAAAAGCCCGCCGTGGAGGGGAGGGGGGAGAATTAGGCTTATCCTGATAATCTGCAATTTTTAGATATTTATCAGGAGAATTCTGAGCGAGAAAAAATAATGATGATTACATCAGCTTTTACATCGTATCTCATACAAAGCATATGAATAACCCAAATATCAATGAATAAATAAAAAAAAAGAAAAGGAAAAACATACTGAATCTCTTCAGTCTTCAGTAGTACCCGCTTAAATGTAAGGTCCATGGATTCTATCCAAAAATACATGTCAAAAATTACGAAAACAAGATACGGCTGTCACAGTGTCACAAGTTTGTTATTATTCGTAACTTATAAAATTAGCTTTAATAATTTACCTATTACTCCATAATTTGCACACGTACGTTCCAGAGCTAATGAAGTATGGGCACACGTTAGAGATCTGAACTGCATTATTGGGGATTCTCTCGAGTTCATCTCGCAAAGAGTGCATCATACCTTAAAAATGGAAAAAATGCCAGGCGTTTATCAGAATTATACGTTAACATCGGCTTTTAGATGCTTAAAGGGATAACTTATGCTGATCTGCATGCATTTTCATACGTTTTAAAGTCAAATTCTATCATTTTTTAAAAACCAAAAGTAATTAAAAGAAATTAAAGCTACAGAGTAATTTTTTAATCAGTTTAAATCAATGTCTGAAAAGTTTTAGAAACATATTTCTGAGGTGCGTATGAAAATGGACATAAAATACTTATTTTTTACACTTTAGAAGTGACAAACTGGGAATGTCACTAAAAATCAGTAACGTATGTAAATTCAAGCCTTTCTGAACTGACCTGTGACTGCCCATTTTGTTGAAGTGTAGAGAGACGCGTCGTGACCTCCTATGAGACTTAAAACGGAAGATATTGCAACGACATGCCCATGATTTCGACTCAGCATACCCGGTAGGAATTCTCGGATCATCTACAAATATGAACATGGTCATTGGTCATCTTCTGATTTTGTACAATTTTAAAAAGCTCTCCAAGACAATATATTTCATCGCTCATCTTACGTAACGGCGTATTTCTATAGACTGATTTAGTAACTACGTCATTAGATAGATCGACATATTCGCAGGTCGAATTGTAAACAAAAACAACCTCAAACTCAACGAATTCAATCCTCTAAGTAGCTGTTTTATTTTTACCGCGCTTCCAAACGCGGCAAAGTTAAAACTGGTTATAATTAGACTTCGATTATTTTGGCGCATATTATCGAAAGACGTGGCCACTATATCAGTCTATCTTCACGTGAGCTTGAGCTCCGGAAGCAAAGAAATTTACAGAGAACATGGCTCACGTGGAAATATTGAGATATGCTCTAACATCAGAAGGACGACATTTTTAGAGACTGCATGTTTCCTCACTGTGTCTCCCTCTTTCCTTTAGTGTAAAAGTTACTTCTGGAAGTAATTTGCAAAAATTTGCCTGGCAGAGTGCTCATCTTAACTTTCATCCGTCACCATTTTCAATGCAAGAGAACAGTCTGTGGCGTCTTTTCCCTGATCACGTGGTTAAAATAATTGTGAATATCACACAGCCGGAAGTCGGCAGAAAAAGCCGAAGGCGAGGCGTGAATGATCGATTATCGATATTTCCCCATTTGAAGCCATGGTGAAGAATCGATTATTAAGGTGTTTGTGCGAACGCCATGTTTATCGATCCTTTTCCATTGGTGGAAATAGCATATCAATCGATACATCGCAAAGCACGCCACGCCACTGGAAAAAGTGGTTCGTTACGCTTATGAATGCACATTTATTTATGCACATTATATTTATTTTTTAATGAATGCACATTAGGCACACCATAACAAAACAGAGTCATTAAAACCTTTGTATGGAGAGATCAATAGAAGAAACGTGATTCTGTGGATCGGAATCCCTCCCAATGAAATTCAGGTATTCGCACCAATAATTTCAGTCGACTCATCAATAATTTTAGTTGTCATGACCATAAATCTGGTTGTGCTGAATACAGATCCCGGGAAGAAAATATTCAAAAATGCTTTGTAGGTGTTCCAAAAAGTTGTTCACCCCATTGCGCTCCAATTATGTTCTTACGCCGAAAAAAAGGGATGCTGACTCAATGTTCTGGATTTAAAAAAGTGTGCGACAACTCACAAAACGCTGAGTTAACCGCCACAACAGTTAGTTTTACATCTTGACATTGCTATTGTAACGCTCCGGCGGTTAATTTAGCGTTTTGTGAGTTGTTGCACACTTTTTACATCCAGTATGTTAAGTCAGCATCCTTTTATTTCGGTGTAGAGCTGTATTTGGATTGCCTTTTGCAAAAAGGAACCACTAGCATTGCAATGATGCTAAGATTGTGCAACTTCATCCTTTCCAATAAAATTGCGGAAATTGTGAAAAACTATGAAATTTAGATGGTAATTTTTGTCTTAAATTTACAGTTTTTAGCGACTAAAATACAGTAAAAGTTCGTTAAGTCGAACTATGATTAAGACGAAAATCCGCTTAAGTCGAAATTTTCTTCAGTCTCGCGACGTTGCATATGGAACAACGTTAAAAAAACTACGCTTTAGACGAATTCGCGAATTTTTGAGCCGGGTGGAAAGCCGCTTATGTCGAAATTTTTTTTCGAAAAATCCGGATTTTTACAACGAAAAACACAAAAAATGCATTGATAGGAGTTGTCCGCAGTGCTCCCATTTCATGTCCGGCAAAAGTTCCGGGTTTCGGAGCTTTTTTGTTCCAATTCCTCCCATTCCATGAGCGTCAAAGGTTCCAGGATTCTTCTTAGAGTTTTTTAAAATTTCCGAGAAAGCTCCAGAGAATCCAAAAAAATCCGTAACATGTCGGGAATTTCTAAAGTTCTGGGGAAAAGTTAGGAAATTCTCAGAAGTTCCAAAATTCGGAACTAGTTCCGGGAACCCTCTACCTAGTGCTCCTCATTTACTTGTCTGCACCTATTTCACCTGACGTTCGATCTGTTTACTTCATAATATTGCTATCAGCGTACGCACCTCCATTATGAACCCGCCGCACCGGAGAAAACTCGCAGAGCGGCGGCATTGCCGCTCAAGTCGAATTTTTGCGATTTTCACGCTAATTTCGAGCTAAGCGGAGAAACGACTAACTCGAATTGCCGCTTAAGTCGAATTTTTCATTGGTCCCCAGACAATTTGACTTAACGAACTTTTACTGTAGAAACTATTAAGGGATAATCGGGTTTTTCCTCCAAGACAAAAGAAGTTGCACAATCTTAGCAACATTGCAATGCTAGTGGTTCCTTTTTGCAAAATGCAATCCATTTCAAGGAGGTATTACGACGTTGCTTACCCAGAAATGACTCATAACGTTGACCCTGAACATAGCTTCAATCTCGTGGTCCTTGTGCTCATGGGTAGTGACGCCGCCAAAACAGAGGGCAGCGTTGTTGATGAGGATGTCGACTCGCTGGAAGTCGGCCGAGATGATTTGCGCCAAGGTCGAGATGTCCTCAGGGATCCCTAGATCGGCGATGTAGGCCTTCGCCACGCACCCGTGCCTTGAATTGATCTCGTTGGCCACTTTGGTGACGGCCTCCACCTTTATGTCGACCAGAGCCAGTTTGCATCCCTTCTTTGCCATCTGCATCGCCAGCTCCTTGCCCAACCCGTTCCCGGCCCCCGTGATCTGTGCGAAAATCACAAATGTAGAGGAAATCACTGTTGTGCAATGGACACTAAGCGATATATACATAGGATCGTCCAAAAATGACATTAGGCAATAAGCGAATTTTATTCAAAGTTCTGAATCTCTTTGGAAAGCTCTGCCTTGAGTACCTTTATAGACAGAGTATGACCATTTCTGTGCCCGTTTTTCATTGGTCGCGAGAGAATAGGCTGACACGATGTTCTTACGGCCGTAAATGAACAAACAAGACAAGGCGGATGAAGGAGGGTGGTCGCATTTCGAGTTGAGCCGCCATTTTAAAGGCCGTGACGCGCTGAGGGTACATGCTTTGCCATGCAAGTAGGATGTACCCGAAACGTACCCGCTGCCGTGTGACGCCAAGAGGGTACGAAATGCGACCACCATTCTTTATCCGCCTTGCAAACAAGATGGCTGTTATCAGCAAGCAAGTTTGAGGTTTTCCACGTATGGAATATAAGCCAGTAAACCAACAGAAGAAGAAGAAGTTTGAGGTTATGCACATCTTACATCCTCCTGTGGTAAAGGCGAAAGGAGATTCAACAGTGTTTTCATGTGTTATTCATAGATATGCTGGTTTAAATTGTTACGGCTGTATAATTGAATTTTTTTCAAATTTTAGCTTCTTATCAATGTTGCGGTAAGTCTTGTTTGTTTATTTATGGCCGTAAGAGCATCATGAAGCCTAAAAACCCGTTGACCGATTAAAAAGCGGCACAGTTCTCCTGTGGTAAAAAGATAAGAATGGCCATACTCTGTCCATAAAGGTAATCTAGTTCTGCCCGGTTTTGTCTCATCAACCATCAACACTAAGGGACACCGTTGCTAGCAGATTTGACCCGTCGGTTTTCGATAGATCGAACCTTTTTAGGACCACCTCGCGAGGTGGTACCAAAATTGGGTACCAACGTTGCGATTCATAAGTCACCGAATCGAAATTACTCAAAATAAAATGGCAGCTGGGACAGAGCCGGATTTACCTACTTGCCGCCCATGGGCCGCCTGTATTTTGCCGCCCCTTCTCATTCGTTTTGAGTCATTAATAAAAACCATCAAGTAAACGTGCCGGAGGGAGAGGGGTGCATAAGACGCGTTTACTCGTGTTGGACACATTTTTTGGAGAAGCCCTGTCAACACTATTAGCAAAAGTTCACGGAACTTTGCGGGAAAGTTAAGTTCCGTAAACCTATCCCTGTGTGGACGAGGCCTTCCATTCATTAGTAATGAACGAAATAATTATGAAAGAACGAACATAAATGTGGTTTAATGACTTTAACTTGCGCCGCCGCGCCGCGCAGACTGCACTATGTGTTTGGCGCAATGCGTGAAGTATTCCACCAGTCTTGTAGGCGCTGTGTGTTTTACGCCGACAGCTGCTGCACGCACTGTGTTTGACGCAATGCGTGAAGTATTCACACAGACTTGTAGGCGCCATGCGTTTCACGCTGACCGCAGTGACCGCACTGTGTTCGATGCAATGCGTGAAGTATTCATGCAGTCTCGTAGGCGCTAATAAGTGTTGCATGCCGACCGCCGCGCCGAGGGCTTTTCCTTTTCATCTCAAGTCCACGTCATCATTTCTCTCTAAACCGCGCTGTTCCAGGCCGAATTGCATGTTTGGTTTCTCTCTTATAACTCGACTAATTAAAGGTGCTGTCTTTTGTAATACTGAAAGACGACAAAATTAGAAATTACTATTCTCTCAGAAAATGGGAGATTTTGTCGCCTTTTCTCGTTTGTAATTTTTTTTCCAAATCCGATTTTTTTTATACCTACATTTAAAAAAAATTGTAAAAGCCGCCCCCTAGATTTGCCGCCATCGACCGCGTCCCATGTGGCCACCCCTTAAATCCGGCCCTGACCTGGGAGGTTTGGGCGCAAAAGTATTACCTCTAAATAAAATTCGCTGAATGGGTTTTACTGATATTCTGGAAGAGCCTGCGAGTAGATTTCGTGGTGATTTATTGGAGCCAAAATCCGATAGCGTTTAATTGTACGAAGAAAAAAGTTCTGCGCAGATTTTGAAAGAAATTTGTAGAAACTCGAAGGGTGAAATTTTCTATCCTTAGGATTCCATCGTTCTCTAAGGGGGTTTTCAGTTTGGGTTTTCTGTTTGGTTAGAAAATTCAAGATCATCAAACAGCTTAAAGTAAGTGTTGATCTTTTAAATCAATCATGATAAAATCGTTTATCTTTAGTGAGAGTCACTGAAGTTTGATACCACAAATGAGGTCATTATGATGATTTTACTTAATGTTAATGTTTTGATTAAGATGTTTAACTATTTCAATAAGGCTTCTCTGTTGATTTAATTTAAGGGCCTGGATAGCTACTAATTTTTTTTTTTTTTTTTTTTTTTTTTTTTTTTTTTTTTTTTTTNTTTTTTTTTTTTTTTTTTTTTTTTTTTTTTTTTTTGTCATCATAATAAAACTGAATTATCCGTTAGTAATATAAATGATAGAATCAGATTGATTAATCACTGATTAACTGTTGAAAGAACTCTCTCGTTAACTAATAGCGAATGTCACGCGATCAAACCTCGCTATCTATATATCAAGGTTAGGTGTTATGATAGGCTTATTCGATGACTTGGACCAATCACAGCATTTGACCTTGTTCTATTGATAACTTCATTTGATCGTTTGGCATTCGCTATTGAGCAATGCGTTTACAAATTAATTTAATGAATAACACTGGAAAAAAAAATCTTGAGATATTATTTTGACTTAAAACGTCCTTTCTTGTCCACAAAATTTCGTATTTTTTAGTTAAAGAGCTCGCGAGTCGTGATAAATAGAGATAAAATTTCGATTTTATCAAACGCGATTTCATAAAGTTGAATTGCGACAAGAATGAGAATAATCGCTCCGATGTTGATGATCCTCGCGATTTTATCGCAAAAAAATCGTATAGGAAAATCGCAACTTACTTTTAAAATAACGCGTTTAATCCGTTAAAAAATGCTACGTGGGAAGTCTGTGACATCAGAAGCCGAGATACACGGTTCGGGAATTTCACCATCCTGATATTGTATTTCAGAGGATATTCGGATTTTTTATAGGAAAAAAGGAAAACTTCAATTACCAAAACAACTTCATCTTTCAGTGACTTCCTCCTCGAAGGTAAGATTGTCATCAACAAAGCCCAAAGACACGCTGGTATCAGCATGATGAGGAGCCATATTACTTGGAACACCAACAGAGTGAATTCTTTAGGTAGTGTCCGCTGCTCCGTCATTTCTCCACGTGTTAGTTCTACGCGCCTAAAACCTGTAAAAAATAAAAGAACTTCATTTAGAGGCTCATCATTTATCTCATCATAAAGATTAGCACTTAAAATTCTATCCTACTCTATACAATATGGTAAGCTCAGGTAGCTTTGACGCCGAAAATTCTGACGCAAAAAACCAAACGCTCATGATCAAACGCACAAATTTTCTCAATTTTATAGGTATTACATTTTAGGGAGTAATTCAACATTTTTTCCTAAACACTCTCTTGATCTTAGGAGAATACCTCGTCGGTATTCTGATTATCCTGACTGTTATAAATTTATTTTACAATAAAATTTCCTCCGCTGGAAGAGTCTTCAGTATTTTTTGTATTATTTAATTTTTATTTATTATTTTATCGAGTCTTCCTTACTTTTTTGCTTAAGTTAGGTGTTAAAAGATACTTGGAGTGAAAAACTGATAAGCCGGTTATTAATTATAGGTTTAGAGAATTGTCTCTAATTTTCTTTTTCTAATGTGGCTGAAAGTGCATTCAATTTAAGATTTATGAACAAGATTTATATTCTTCTTTAGAAATTAGTGTGTGAGGTAATTTAAGAGAGGCACTGGATGCGGAAAGGGCCCTTCTCGCTTGCGGTGTTTCAGAATCTCTATTGCTAATTAATCCCTCGGGAACGACTTTAATGGGTGGTTTTTCCAGAATTCTCTTCATATAAAATTGTAAAATCATGAGGAATATTCAGTAAAATGTTTAGTAAAATGGATGTATTCACTTTCCTTACAATGAATGAAATATCAGATGATACTCTGAAACACTGCAACCGAGAATAAGTGCCCTTTTCGCTTCCAGTGCCTCGATTTCAAAGTAGTACTAGATTTATTATAGAATGAACAAACAACATTTTTTCATGATTTTTCGTTTCATGTTATTTTTTTTATTTTGGCATCATGATGGTAACGGCTAGTTCTAATATGCCATTTCTAAAATAACACGAAGAAACACGAGGAAAATGTCTCTATTCAAAATCCTGTATGTATGCAGAATTTGCAGTAGGGTATAAGCTACACCTTAGGTGCGTAGCTCCTATTTACTTAGCAAAATCGGGAATGTTTCCTTCGCTTTCTCTGCAGCGAAAAATGTACACGTAATTGATATTATTTTCCAGTTCATCTTAATTTTAGTTCCAATTTATTTGAAAAATCTGCGAAACGGTTGCAATGAAAATGCTTGATGTTTTTGAGCTCACTCATTTCACTGAGTCTATTGCAAACATGCTCAAATTGATATCATTAGTCCGGTCAAACCATGAAGGTCCAAGATTTCAGCATATCGACGGCCGAAGTTGTGAAATCCATATCTATGATTGTGACTTTGAAGTTGTCATCCATTGTAATTTCCTAAAAAATATGTTGAAACTTCCTGCGATCGTTTTTCATCCCCTCGCAAATATTCAGGGATAATTTCAAGGGTACATATATGCCATATTTTTATCATCGTGAAATTCAAAACATGAAAGGAAATTTTCAAACGCTGTAATGGAGATACCTATTTTTAGACTTGAGCCGTCAATATGTAGCATCGAGGGAAGATGATCTTGAGATGAAAGCTTCGGAAGAAATCTAAAGATTTGGATACTCGAGGGAAAAAAAGTAGAAAAAACAATATTGCTGCAAAACCGTAAAGCTTGTTAGCAGCAAGAATGTAGAAATGCAAGCTTTGCGGGGTTCTTAAGCTCAATAGCTTCGTAATAAATCAATATATCCAATAGGGAACGAAACTGCATCTTCAATATTGTTTTTTGATTAGCACATGATGAAAGTTTGAAGGGTCAGCGCGTGGCGAAACTCGTGGGAGAAAGAAGGGGACGGATGAGGGATCGGTGTGTAATAAAATGAGGAAGCGCTGTGCTGTACCAAAAAAAAACTGAGTATGACTATTCAAATGTTGTCAAATATCCTGCGACAGAATGCGAATTTGATGGAAAACTTCTGAATTTTCTTCCTCCGCGTTTTCAAAAAATGTCTTTTACAATTAATTTTCATTGTCTAAAAATATCAGGGAAAATTTTTTCATCTCAAATTTAAAACTTCCATGAGGGGAATTTGGCATAATTTTGACTTTCATGTTACTTTTTTCTTAACACGGTTTTTATTGGTTCTCATGAACGGCATGAGGAGTGAGCCGCGAGGGGAGTGGGGGATGCACACGGTTCATTCATTCGAATTAATTTGCGTGGTAGTACAAAGGAGGAATGCAATATGATCATTCGAATGTTGCCAAGTTGTAATCCCTGCAAGTATACATCTTTAGCACAATCCGTCATATTACGCAGCATCGTTTTTTTTTTATGATTTTGAAATTAGAAACAGAAAACACACATTCTTGCAAGGCTACCATCCTGGTTCTACAAATAGCGCTTGCTTTGCTGTTCATTTAAAAAAAGTTAAGATATCTTCAGTAGTTCCTGAGAAAAGTGTAACTAAAGTCGGAGAAGCCCACCTTTTCAGGTGCACGAAAACAAAAAAAGGGTACTGGTTATACCTACCGATTACTACTGATTATACTCTTTATTTTCTACTGACGTACATATGTTTGAAATATTTTTAATATTATTTCTCACTTACAAAGCATAACCTATAAATCGTTTGAATCAGCTTACCGTCTTTTATTATAATATTGTAAGAATAAAGAAAAAAAAATAAAAAAAAATTGAGTAGTTGGTTGCCTTAAATCCGCAATCTGCTCCACATACTCCCCCCCCCTCTTATTGAGTGGAAACAGAACGCGCAGAACGACCGAGGGGCTTGGAGGACAAGGTGCAGAAGGGCAGTTTTTGCTATTTCAAGAAATACGTGTTTAAAGTTTCATAATTACATGGATCCTTATTGCGGGAAGATGGTTCAAACTGACTTTTTGATGCTTAAAAATTGGGATTTGGGAGCGAAATTTTCACAGAATATGCATTAAGACTGGTATCACTTGAAATCATTAATAACTCAATTTTTTAAAAAACTGTACCTATGCGCCTTGTCCTCCAAGCCCCTCGACCATCACCCATTGAGTTATCGCACTTGATTTCTTNAATATTAAGATAATTACATGGATCCTTATTGCGGGAAGATGGTTCAAACTGACTTTTTGATGCTTAAAAATTGGGATTTGGGAGCGAAATTTTCACAGAATATGCATTAAGACTGGTATCACTTGAAATCATTAATAACTCAATTTTTTAAAAAACTGTACCTATGCGCCTTGTCCTCCAAGCCCCTCGACCATCACCCATTGAGTTATCGCACTTGATTTCTTTATCCACAGGTTGGGAGACAAATGAATCAAGTCAGTCGGGAGACTCAGCTGTGCCTCATTCAACTAGGGCTATCCTGCTATGGCTGAGGCGCAACTACTGCGTCACAGAGGGTGTCTCGATCCCCCGCCTCGTTCTCTACAATCACTACGCTGAGTTCTTTTCACTCCGCTCGTACGATCTCATCAACGCCTCCAGTTTTGGAAAGGTACCTTTCAGTGGCGTGGCGTGAATTGCGATATATCGATTGTTATGCCATTTAAACCTATGGTAAATAATCGATTATTAAGGTGTTCGCTGCGAACACCCCGTTTATCGATCCTTTTCCATAAGTTTAAATGGCGTAACAATCGATGTATCGCAATTCACGCCACGCCACCGGTGCCTTTGGATTTTGTACATTTCTCTGCCTCGCATTACTGCCGTACTAAGCAAGAACGCCGTAAATCCATCAAGATTTTCCCCTCGTTTTTTGAAACTTAACACTTTATAAAATAAAAACTGTTATACCCATGCTCCTCAAATTTGCAGGTTAAGTTCTCGATAGTATTTGCAAAAGAATTCTGTAAAATATTCATCCAAGGTAAACAAGTTTTTTTCTACTATGATACATTTTTCCGAAAAATGTCAAATGGCGTTTACGGCGTTTTTGCGTCGCACGGCAGAATAATCCAGTAGCGTGGCTTCGCAGTCGCACAGTGGATCGAGTCAATGGGAGAGGTCGGACATGATTTAAAAACTTTAAAAGCGTACATCGCCATGAATATGAGATGTTGGTGTTTTAAAAGTAGTTTCATTGGTTTTCTCGCAAAATTGTCTACATATAGCACTCCTAAAAATTAAAATTGTGTCGAGATAAACGTTTTTTACGATTTTTGCGAAAAATTTAATGTCCGACTTCTTTCAAAGACTCGTTCCACTGTGCGTCGTGGCGTGCTTTGCGATATATCGATTGACCTGTCATTTGAACCTATTGAAAAGGATCGATGAACAGTGTATTCGCAACGAGCACCTTAATAATCGATTCCTTACCATAGCTTCAAATGGAGAAATATCTATAACCAATCATTCACGCCTCGTCACTGGTTTAACTATCTAGTCGTGCCACCGAAAAGAACAGTAAAAAGATCAAATTTAAATACCGAGATTTTTGATAAGGGGGTACGTGGCCAAAATGCTAAAAAAATGTGCAAGAATTAATTTAAATGAAAACTTTTGTATTCTTGTGCAAGCTTTTCGAAACGATTGCCATCGTTAGGACTTTTAGTGTCAGAAAGATATATTTAAATACATTTTTCAATTAAGATTAACAACTTTTGTAAGCACTTTGTTGACTAGGTAGAAACAAAAAAAAAAAAAAAAAAAAAAAAAAAAAAAAAAAAAAAAAAAAAAAAATCATTCCTACCTAGTCAACAAATTCTTTGAGACATTACAGAGTTTTCGATTCGAGTTCAAATTCGATTTTTTTGCCCAGATCGAAAAGCAGATTTTTACTGGCCCGATCAGAGGTGTATGGTTAAATCGACTCTTATCGAAAACAAGCATCGGTAAAAACAGGGCAGAATTGAAAGTTCCTTCTAATTTTATGAAATTTTAATTATGTTATCAACTAAGCAAACAAAATTTTACTTTTAATGATTTAGCAACATACTTATTTTGTTTCATGTACAACAGCTCGTGAAGAAAGAGTTTCCGAGCGTGACAACTCGCCGGCTGGGTAGCAGAAACCGGTCCAAGTACCACTATTTTGGATTAGGCATGCAAGAAACAGCACTCAATTTCGAGCCTAGATACTCAATCCTTGGAATAGGGCGCAAGAGGTACTTTTCTCAACAAATTAACTATTGTGTTCACATACCTGCTGTTCACACTATCTTTATCATGCTCATTTATTTTTATTATTTTGATTTCTTTATTTTCTTTTAATCTATGTAACAGTTAAGAAGTATGAGTGTAGTCTGGATTTCATGCGAGTATGGGTTATGTAAGTTAAAGTTAAAAACAAAAATTAGACGTTAGTCAATTTCTAAGTTACTTTATTTGTAAAGAAAAGTTAATTTACACCTAGTAGGTGGTTGTAACATGTATTTGAAGAATAAAAAAAAAAAAAAAAAAAAAAAAAAAAAAAAAAAAAAAAAAAAAAAAAAAAACATACCTGCTCTTGAATGAGTTACACGACGATCAGGATTCACTGCCACGGTCTAAATGACCGTTTGAATCGTGATAACGAAACAGCAGGAAGCCCATTAGCCCACCTATGACGCGATTCTATTCAAAATTCAGACAGGAGTGTCTTAAGAGTGAAGATCAAGGTCCCACGATTGAGATAATAAAAATAATTTTTTTCGGCAATATTTCGTCGCCTTTCGGCCAAAATATCACGAGCGCCATGCGACCTTTAAACATTTCCGCCGGCATTGTTCAACGAAGCTGTCCGAAAACTCAACTGAATTTTCTTTGTACTGCCGATTTAATTCAGTGAAATTTTCAAATAGATTCAACAAACAATTTCTCAATAAAAAAATAAAATGGCGGCGGAAATTTTTAAACGTCGCATGGCGCTTGTGATACACTGGCTGGGAGGTGACGATTTACCGATTGATAAGGTTTGACACGCGCGCAATGTGAAATACAAAAATAGGTATCCCATATTCAGATGGTCTCCTGATAGAGGATTGTGCGGTTTGTTCAATTTCGAACGGATTGTTCACGGATTACAATTATTAGAAACTGTTCGATGCTTTCAATTAAGAATTTTAAAAGAAAAATAAGTAAGCAATTTATATTTAACTTTGGGAAAGTAAAATATTCGTTTGTTCTTTTAAACTGTTAATAAATTCTTGAGAACAAGATTGTTCATTGAGACGGTCTGAATATTTTCTAGGGACCTTTTTAAGGACAATAAGTTTCCTTCGTTCCGGAAGTATGGAGACTTTCTATCAATAATAGAGAACGAAACGCGATTCTACGGAAGTATGAAATTATTTAAGATTTGATTCATGTTTTCTCATTTCCCACATTTAACCTTTAGATGCCCAAGTCGGGTCAAATCTGCCCGAGGCTTGCTAAAAACACGCGGTCCGTGGATTGTGTCAAGCCGGTGCATACGAGACTTGGATAAAGCTCTACAAATATATCCTGAAAAAATAATCAAACATCAAATTAAAAAAAGAAAAAAATGATTGTTGGCACAGCCAGGGAATGGAGAGAACTATTCGAGCCTCTTCTTTTGATTTTTCTGCCAAATCTGAGTGACACCTCCTTGGAAGTAAAGAGCGGGGCATTGAGAGTTCAGCCTCCGCGGCATCGCGCCTTCAATTTTGAAGATGCAACACGGACATCCATCAAGCCCGAATAGTCGTATCTCCGCGCCGTCATCAACGTGCATCCTTTCCCTTGCTCTATGTTGTGTCGGTTCTATTTCTCGAGCACTCTATAGGGTGCACGTCTAAAAATTAGTATTTTGGTGAAAATTGTGTCGTGTCAGGGGTTTTTTTTACGACCACCCGCCCTAAAAATTTCAAGGCGGGTCAAATTGACCCAACTATCTTTTCAGGGGGAGTTACATATTTCCGATGAGTAGGTGAGAGGGTGAGAAGCTAGTGTGATAACGATATGGGAAAACTTCAAAATAAGTAATTCTTACCTTCAAACCATAGAAATAACATTGATAACACTTAAACATCTATCAAAATCAATGTTTTAAATACGGATCAATTTGATATAACTCACGACTTCGCTTATAGAAAAAGTCTTTGGCATCTAAGGGTTAAATAACTGATTTTAACGGAGAGGCATCATAAGATAATATCAAAGGTTTGCAAATTGTGCAAATGAACATTTTTCTATAATTATGTTTATCCAAATTATTCTTTTGTTTCTAGGCAAAGGAACCGTCTGAGCGTCGATGGAGTAAGTTTTCTACTTAATTAATTATTTAATCATTGAGACAGTAAATGAAACAAGGTTATCACTTCAGTTACTACATGTCCCTAATACTTTTGAAGGAAATCAAGATAAATCCCTATTACCGAGACCTTTTAAATTGAGTCAAAGAAAAACGTGAGAGGGGGGGGGGCGAGATGCAAGAAAATTTCAAGCGATAATGAAAGCAGCACATTTGCATGCGTTTTCATTTCAAAATCACTTTTTACTTTATGCGCATACATTCGAGTCGCTTTACAGCGCGCCTGGGCTCTCTGCAACACCTAATCGCCATCCTTGCCTATCGATCCAGAGGTCATCTGGTAAATGGCATCTTGTGATTTCATCTTGAATGCCACCTATCCACGATTTTGCTGGGTGTCCCCTCGTCTTCTCCCAGGAGGAACCAATCTAGTACCTTCTTAGGCAACCTATCATCTGCCATTCGTTGAACATGACCATACCAGACAAGCTGTTTGGTCATAATTTCATGCACGATACGATACGATTTACTTTATGTACTCCTCTTCATTTCGCTGATATACTTTCTTTTGATGGAAGTTGGCGAGGAGAAACTTTTTGAGACAATAAAACCAGTAATAAAGTTCTTATTCACGAGACTTACCTTCGTAACGCCAGAAACGGGAGACTAGGTCCGCACAAACTACATCAAAAAGCTCGAATGCGGTGACTGACTCTGACCGAGTGAATTTTTTTTCTTCTTCTTTCTTCTTGGAATGATCTCACCGGTTCCCTCTGTGGGGAAAAAAATATGGATTTTTCTTACTCTTTAAGGTTCGTTTAAATTTATCGAATATGCAGATAAAAGTTGAGCAGTTTGGGTTTCCGTTGATATACATCATTCAATATTTTTTTCAAAGCAAAACAAACGACAAAATACGGGTTTGCAGTTTATAAAAAGTAAGATGCTTGCAATTCTCCTTTGTTCCTACTTAAAAAATATTCAAATAAGCGTTTTTATGCTTGTTTGTGCTTCTCTAAGTTTAAATTTTTTCACAAGCTCCGACAGCAGTATTGGAGCAATTCTGAGTGAAGGTCATACGTCACCTCTTGCTTTGATTCTCAAAATAGAAGAAAGTGAATGAAAATATGTTTTTTCCTTTATATTTATTGATTTCAATGATTTTTTGTGTGCATGATTTGAACAGGAAAACATTGCCAAATCTAATCGTTAAATACCACAAAAGTCTATATTGCTGCGTCTAACAAATGAGATTTATACATTTAGATAGAAATTTGTATTCTTTAAAAGTGATCATTTCAGTTCATTTATTCGTTCAAATTACTATAAAATGCATATTGTGTGCATCTCATTTAAAAGTCATTGAGCAAATCAGTGATACCTTCATTGGGCCCTCTTTAAAACAGTTCATCTGTTCATTCGCAATATATCTTGTAAAGACTGCGATTTATTAGGAAGTGAAAATCGCAATATTGAGAATGCTAAAGTAACGATTGACTTTAGGTAATAAGTTTAGCAAAATAATTAGTAAAAAAAGCAAAAACATAAGCAATTCAGGAAACATCTTGCAATCTAGCAAAAGCATTAGCGGTAACGCAAAAGAAAATTAGTATTTTTACAAATTGTTTTGTCATTCTCACCGCCGGACATTTTCGCAAAAACGCGAATTGCAGAAATCGCAAACAATTTTTTGCCATTTTAGCAAATATTTTTTTTCTCCGTGTGACGTTCTTTGCGATGTACGGATTGATCCGCCATTTAAACCTATGGAAGAAGATCGATAAACAGGGTGTTTGCAGCGAGCACCTTAATAATTGATTCCGCACCATAGCTACAAATGAGGGAATATCGATAATCGATCATTTACGCGACGCCAAAAAAACCGAGAATTGAGATGGTCACGATTCGCAGCCGATGGAAAATTTTCAAACTCTTTTGCAGAGCCGGCGCTTTATGGTAAAAGACGCTTCTCCAAGGAAACGAACAAGAGTAACCGACGAGTATTACCAACAACACTCAGTGCTCGAAACGTTCATGGAAGAACGCTCTCAATTAGCTGGGACCATCTCTTTAACCGAATTTGCAAACGCTCAATTTCAGCAGGGAAGTTTATCGCTGGATGTTTCAAACCAGTGGAACACAGGTGAATTTGCGGGAAACCATCCAGAAAGCTGCAAAAGAGTGAGTATCATATTTACTACCGATGGGTCATTCCACGCCTAGGTAGTCCGGGAGGTATTTTTTCCCCCTCCAAATGACCCAACGATATTTATTTTTGGACTCCTTAATACTCCTAGTTTTTGGAAATATGTGTGGTTTACCTTCGTTTTGTTTTTTTTCTCGCAATTTTTACGTGTTTTGTAACCCCGTTGCTTAGCTTCATCCTACTGTAAAAAAAGTGACAGTTTAGTAGCAAAATTTTCTGGTGTTCCCGCCAAAACCAAGTTTCAGGTTATGCTTGCAGTTGTCAAGAAACTGATTCAATGTGCTTCTGCAAAGTTTCAATTTTCAAAAGTAATTACTGTATATTATATGTAACTTTTAAAACTTAGTGCACTGACTGTCACACCCGTTACGCAAAACATGGGTTTTTTAATGTAACTATTTTGATTCATGTCATTTCGAGACGCCAATTTTATCCGTACGTCTTCAAGTCAAGTACAGCTTTGGAGTATTTTTTCCAAATTTGTATTTCAACAATTGATGGGCAAAAATGCGTAACGGGTGTGACACGTTACGGGTGTGACCAATGAGAAGAGGCTTCAATTATGCAGATGTTGCCTCACTTCTCACCATTTTTTCTATGGTTATCACAAGAAATACACTCATATGCATAATTAGAGGTTATGTATACATCTAATATGAGAGGGATAGCCAACTTTTTTGCTATATTTCAGTATTTAAAGTGAATACACCTTATCTCAAAAGGACTTCAAATAGAACTCGTTGAACTCTCTCCGATTTGATTGAAATATTTTCACTTTACTATAGGCCCAGACCTACCGTGTCAGGGTTTTTTTTTTTTTGGTTCATTTGGGCCATGCGAGGTCCAAGACCGCGGGGACGAAATGGGAATTCTGGGTTACCCGAAGAAAAGCCCCGGGACGGTAGGTCTGGGCCACCCTGTAGAAAAATGTACTTTTGGCATGTTCTACATTAAAATGCGTCTCATTTCTGATTGATTTACTGCTTATGATTGCCTACAATAAGAGTATGAGAAGAAAAGTAAGTTTTTTAACTTTTAAACTCTCTCAGAAATGATGGACTTCAGAGAGACAATTTGTCACACCCGTTACGTCACACCCGTGACGCAAACGGTAGGTCTGGGCCACCTTGTAGAAAAATGTAGTTTTGGCATGTTCTACATTAAAATGCGTCAAACTGTTGATTGATTTACTGCTTAGGATTGCCTACAATAAGAGTATGAGCAGAAAAGTAAGTTTTTTAACTTTTAAACTCTCTCAGAAATGATGGACCTCAGAGAGACAATCTGTCACACCCGTTACGTCACACCCGTTACACCCGTTATACCCGTTACCGTTACACCGTTAACTTTCCCATTTTTCAAGGAAAGAAAAACAGATAATCGAAAACAGATCATCGGCAGTTGAAGCAAAAACCCTTGGCTTCATCATATAATTCAATCGGATTTTTACATTCATAAAATTCGCTGAGTTTCCACTTTACACTCACTGAGGAAAAACTCACTTCCAAAATCGGTCACACCCGTTACGCTTGCCTTTTAATTTTTTCTGAGGAATGGAACAAAGTAAAAACAATTTCTGATAAACTGAAATGATCTTTGAAAAAAGTTCTTTCTGCTACTGCAGATAATTTTTTAATTAAACCCCAAGAAAGAGTTCAAATTCTTGTTTAAAGTTAAATTGTTGTCACACCCGTTACAATGGAATGACCCCGATATATTTTGTAAAAATTAGAAGTTTGACTGGAAAAATGTACTCCAAGAGGTCCGAGTCTGAGGGCGAATGTAAGTTTTCAACACAGAATCAGTATGGTGGAATCTCCAAAACTTGTGTTGCTAACCTAATCAACACAGAGCACACCACCAGGGCTATTTGCGTCCTCAATCCTGTGTTTCTCAACATTACGGAGGTCTGTAGTGTCTAACAGAAAAGTATGTGTCAATCCAATAAAACTCAAGAACCTGTAAGTACAGTGCTTGCAGACTTATGACATTCGGATTTGTGGTCGAACAAGGTTGAATGTTAATGGTAAAAACACCAAATGGGAATGTTGGCAAGTACCAAAGGCAATCCCTCTAAAAATCCCTTAAAATATGTGATTTTATGGGATTTCAGAGATATTTAACGTTTGGATCCCCCAGTCTCATGAAAATTTCCTCTGAATATCCATCCTCACAAGAAATTAGGCTATGAGTGTTTTTCTTCGAAAAAATTTGAATTCAAAGGTAGATTTAGGGTCATTGTAATTTTTTTTTAGGATTTATGAGGTTTCTTTTTTATTGATGCGCAGACATCCCAAGTGAAAGACGTCTGCAAATTCTGACTACATTTTTCTCAATTTTCAATGTTTCGCTCTACAACTTTAAAATGCTTAAAAATAGAGTAAATTGTTAAATGTTGGATGATCTGTGAAAAGAATTACGGAAAATCAACGCTTTTACATGGTTATTGATAACTCAATTGGGGATACGGCGTAAAATGTACGAAAAAATTGCAACAAAAAAAAAAATAAAAAAATAAAAAAAATGAGTAAAATATAATATAAAGGAAACACCTTACAGAATTGGATACATGAAAAATACGTGAAAATCAAAGTTCAGTTTTCCAATTATTTTTTACCTTTTTGTTCAGAAGTTGATCACAAAAAATTCCTGAGCTCGAATTGTTCACAAGTTTTTCACACACTTTCATACCTATAAAAATTACCAGCTTTACTTTCTTTTTTTACGAGTTATCCTAAGAGCTGATATTACTCTTGGGTAATTATTATTTTCATTTTCACTCTAAGTACTCTTTTCTCTAATTTCAACACATCTGATTTATGTTTCCTAAGACTTGGCCTGACTTGAAGATCGGAGTGAAACCAATGATGTGAGAGATCAAAAGTGAGGCCGAAGCTCCATCTAGCTCCATTCTAAGATGGAAGGACGAGGCTGAGTATGATTATTGCGGAAAATGGATCAGCACCGAAAATAACAGACCACAAGACAGGAGGGTGAGTTTCATAATCTTCATGCAGTAAAGGGGAACTATGGGTCCAAACTACCAATTTTGCGGGGGGGAAAAGGCCAACAAGTTCAAAAGTTTCAGTTAGAGTAAAAAAATGTATAACTCCAATACTGCCGTGCTAAGGAAGAACGCCGCATGAACCTTCAGGCGTTGCCAAATTTCCTTTGATAAAACACGAATTTCCTGGTAAACTTATGAATATTTTTTCTTCCAATTTTTCAGATAATTTTGTTCGCAATTTCACCTAAAGCTCCTGAAATTTTCAAGGACAAATATTCATATCTTTCCTCAAAAATTAACATTTTATCGAAGGAAATTTGGCAACTCTCGAATGTTCATCCGACGTTCTTCCTTAGCACGGCAGAATACAAGGGGGGGGGATAGAGTTCAGCTCAGGCGCATACATTGAGTTGAGGTCACGCCGAGAGATCTATAACTTTTTGAGTATTTTTTTTATCACGATTGACCCACTATTCACACCTTC